ATAGACGATAAACAGTTTATATTCTAAAATCTATTTAAAGGTTGTGTTCTGTGAAAATTAAATAACATTTGGATGTAAATGGTCGGCATAAACGTAGTGTAAACCGGCTGCATCCTGTGGATCACCTTTATCTGATTGTCCGAGTCCGGAATTATTAAGCACGGCATTAATATCTTCATCAGAGTTTTTTGTTGTCTTCAGATTTCTCTGCAGTGTATGTTGTTAAAAACGCAGAACATCATTTTATTCCACACAACAGGCAAGCATTATCCACCAAAATGCAGATTCGTCACGTGACAATTCTTACGCAAATACGAGATTGAGGGACACGTTAAGTTTGTTTTGATTTATTAATTTACTTACAATAACAATTTAAAATGTATTAACTTTTACATGTATTATTAACTACATTATATGCATTTTTACTTCATAGAAAAAACGTAGCTCGTGGGGGTCCAGGGGGGTTTATGGGCCCAGTACTTTCCTCCTGAACTAAGAGGAAGGCAAGTTTGCTGCATGAAGTTGACTGCATGACATCAATCTCACTTGCAAGACTGGCTACCTTTATACCTTTTTGTTTTTACCAAAATGCCTGTTTAACCCTTGTGCGACCTTATGGACATTTTTGTCCTTTTCAGTTTAGTTTTTTTTATAATTTTGCCTGTGTTAATGCCAACTGAATACATTTTGGAACAGGTGTGTATTTTTATTGGAATTTTATTATTTTCCCCTCATTTCCTTTAATAAATCTATTTTACACTAGGTACAAAAAAATAGTTCCTCTCAGGACCTTAAGGACAAAAATGTCCTCATTGAAACCCATTAAAATGGCAGTTTTTAATCCCAGGGCCATTTAACTATAAAATGAGGCAGTCTTTGTTACTAGGCTTTCATTCTGTAGGCAAGGCTTCAAAATTATTATTTTTTTTAATTATTTTACCAGATGGTGCCATTTTAATATATAAAGCAAATACTCACATTTTTCTTGTTTTCTGCTTTTGCTGCATTATAGAGCCAGTTGGATAAATTATGCAGCAATAATAATGGTGTGGGTATGTTAGTATGGATATCAGAGTGTGGTTTGTATGTGTGTCCTAAAAAAAATTTGTGTGTTCGGGTGTGTGCACCTGTAACGTTTGATAGAGAGAAATGATACTGTACTGTGAATCCCAAATCCCACCACTGTGTATGCCAGCGGAGCTCTGCTACAATCTAATGGGAAATGTTTGGTACTGCACCCAAACAAAATCTTACTAAAAGCTCATTTTTTGAGATATCAACCTCAAATTTGGAACACAACTTGTTTAGATTTATGGCTTTTATTTTCTAGCAATTTTTGTGTTCAACATGTTTTATAAAATATATATTTTATATAAAAAAAACTGCTCATAAATCATTTTCATAAACTTAAACCTCTATAACTTTTTTGGTTAAAAATGTTTACAACTTTTTTTTTACTTCAACAATAATCTGTCTAGGGTCTTCTTTAAAAGCAGCACTATGTAACTTTTTCTGTGTTCAAAATTAGCAAAATGAATATATAATGAGCGAGTACATCATGAATTCATCTTCCAAACCGCGTTTTTGTCTTATTCCAAATCACTACGGTACACTTATAATAAGTACTTATATTTGGACTATTGTAGCCTGGTCGGGTCGTCACCGCTGCGGAGTAACACATACCTGCGTGAATCGCCATAGACATAAACTTAGAGAAGTAGCTCCAGTTGGAATGTTCTTCCGCGGGATGTGTGCAGTTCTCTTTATTAACCGCTAGAGCGCCAAAAGTTACATAGTGCTGCTTTAAAATGAGACCAAACTTAAAGGGATAGTTCACCCAAAAATGCAAATTCTGTCATCATTTACTCACCCTCAAGTAGTTTCAAACCTGTATGAATGTCTTTGTTCTGCAGAACACAAAGGAAGATATTCTGAAGAATGTGGGAAACAGAGCAGTTCTGGGGCACCATTGACTTCCATAGTATTTTTTTCTCCTACTATGGAAGTCAATGGTGCCCCAAAACAGCCTGGTTACAAACTTTCTTCAAAATATCTCCCTTTCTGTTTGGCAGAACAAATACATTTATACGGGTTTGGAACTACTTGAGGGTGACTAAATGATGACAGAATTTTCATTTTTGGGTGAACTATCCCTTTAAGTCTGTACACCCAAGCTTCAAATTTTTATTTTTATTTTTGACAGTTTTTGGACATGGACATTTTTGTCCTCTACGAACCTATGTGTAACTTTTTTAAATTGACGCACAAGGATTAAAATGTATTTAAATGAATTATAAAAACATTTATACAGTAACTTTTATAAATTTTAATGTGAAATGTGAAACTCAATCAGTTGATTTTAACAGAACAAAAAGCAACACTTTAAATCCAGCAAAAAACACTGTGCAAAAACAAAACGGAGCAATATAACTAATATAACTTCTGCAATGCATGCAACTGAAATGCCGGATTCACTTCTCTATACCTCTTCCAAAGAAAAAAACCAAGCAGCATGGAAAAATGCACAGGCAGGAACACGAGAAACCTAATGAGAGCCGCAGCTATCGGGCCTGTACAAACTTGCTTCCCCTGGCATGACAGCACAGGTGTCCGTGTTCTCTCCTCTGCTTTTTTGCACAGGTACTGCTCAAAAACATCCATGCTGTGTGTTCTTAGACAGTGTCTAAATAGCTTTTTAGCACCATTTGATTTACTTTGTATCTTAGAGCAGAAATGCAAGTAAGCTGCCCATACCAATGTATCTAGGGCAGTCCTCGAGCTAGCAGCAAAGAATAGTGCTCGAGTTTTTAAAGAGCATCTGACCACAAAAAGGTTTCAACTTTCTGTTGATTTGTTTGACTGTGAAGACTGATAAAGCGAGCCTGTCCTACCACAAAGCATAACCAGGAAGTTGAACCAACACTAAAAAGGGTTACCTCCTTCACAACAATACTTCTCAAACTGAAAACAAGATACAGTAGTATAAGCTCACTGTTTTTAAATATTTATTCAGTCACCAATGTCAAAATGCACACACTCAATAATAATACCATAATAAAGTCTACTTAAATGCTTTTTTTGCTTAACATCTTGTCTTTATACAGCTTCTACATGCACTCAAAAATAAAATATTTAAAACAATATAGACCTCTGCATCAAAATGTAGTTAAAAACCTTGCTAGACATGTGAAGGGCGTACTGCTTACATGCCTTAAGGGCATGTAAAGTGCCACTAGATGAACCCTGCAGTACAGGAATGCTCCGCTAAATCCAGAAACACAATCACAACCTGACATCTCACAGCACAGAGCAGATGCTATGGATCTGCATCTTACAGTGATTAGAGCTGTGCAGATGGTTTTGCTGCAATATTGCTCTTTACAAACTACAGTCTGAAAAAACAACTAAAGCTGCTATACATGTATTTGCGTCCATCAGTATTAGCTTTTGCGTAATAATGACCATAATTACAATAAACACTAAAAAATTTTTGTGATTCATTCTCCTTTTACATAACACATATACGTTTAAAGGATAGAGAGTCGGACTTGTAACCCGAAGGTCGCGGGTTCGAGCCTCAGGTCCGGCAGGTGGAACTACTTGAGGGTGACTAAATGATGACAGAATTTTCATTTTTGGGTGAACTATCCCTTTAAGTCTGTACACCCAAGCTTCAAATTTTTATTTTTATTTTTGACAGTTTTTGGACATGGACATTTTTGTCCTCTACGAACCTATGTGTAACTTTTTTAAATTGACGCACAAGGATTAAAATGTATTTAAATGAATTATAAAAACATTTATACAGTAACTTTTATAAATTTTAATGTGAAATGTGAAACTCAATCAGTTGATTTTAACAGAACAAAAAGCAACACTTTAAATCCAGCAAAAAACACTGTGCAAAAACAAAACGGAGCAATATAACTAATATAACTTCTGCAATGCATGCAACTGAAATGCCGGATTCACTTCTCTATACCTCTTCCAAAGAAAAAAACCAAGCAGCATGGAAAAATGCACAGGCAGGAACACGAGAAACCTAATGAGAGCCGCAGCTATCGGGCCTGTACAAACTTGCTTCCCCTGGCATGACAGCACAGGTGTCCGTGTTCTCTCCTCTGCTTTTTTGCACAGGTACTGCTCAAAAACATCCATGCTGTGTGTTCTTAGACAGTGTCTAAATAGCTTTTTAGCACCATTTGATTTACTTTGTATCTTAGAGCAGAAATGCAAGTAAGCTGCCCATACCAATGTATCTAGGGCAGTCCTCGAGCTAGCAGCAAAGAATAGTGCTCGAGTTTTTAAAGAGCATCTGACCACAAAAAGGTTTCAACTTTCTGTTGATTTGTTTGACTGTGAAGACTGATAAAGCGAGCCTGTCCTACCACAAAGCATAACCAGGAAGTTGAACCAACACTAAAAAGGGTTACCTCCTTCACAACAATACTTCTCAAACTGAAAACAAGATACAGTAGTATAAGCTCACTGTTTTTAAATATTTATTCAGTCACCAATGTCAAAATGCACACACTCAATAATAATACCATAATAAAGTCTACTTAAATGCTTTTTTTGCTTAACATCTTGTCTTTATACAGCTTCTACATGCACTCAAAAATAAAATATTTAAAACAATATAGACCTCTGCATCAAAATGTAGTTAAAAACCTTGCTAGACATGTGAAGGGCGTACTGCTTACATGCCTTAAGGGCATGTAAAGTGCCACTAGATGAACCCTGCAGTACAGGAATGCTCTATGATCAAACGCCTTGTTTTCATACAAACGTTGTGAAGTAAAGGTTAATTATTATCTATTTAAAATCCTTAAACTTGACTATAAATTATCATTGAGCTTTCTTTTAGTTTAGTTTCAGTCATTTTCCACTCAGGTCGTCTTTATAGACTCTCTCCTCACCTGCGTGCTGAAGGAAACAAACATTCTCTCGCGCCAGGTTGCATATTTGAATGGTATTGCATCTTAAACCATGATTCTTACCTTAATTTCCAGTTAATTGAGTGAAAAGTAAATAGGCCTATAGGGAAACGCTGAAGAACACCCTGCTCAGCGGATCATTGTGAAGTGTGTCTACATTTTCCGGATTGGCCAATCAGAAGTGTTGCGTTTGACTCGCAGGTTGAGCTCGACTCAACTGTGGGAGCGTTAAACAAGCTCTGCCTACATCTATAAAAGGAACTGATTTCGAGAGCGGAAGCTGACTAATTTTACTATGCATGTAGCGTTCTCTATCTGTTTTGGATGACTTTGCTTTCACTTATGTTTTGAGCTCAGATATGCTAATTGCACGCTGAAAAGCGCAAACAATACGATAGAACGCTCGCTTTATCAATGAAGCAATGTTTGTATGATGAAAATATAGTTCTTTTGCACGGTAGTGGGGCTGATACAACAGGTAAAGTTGTGCTTTATGTGTCATTCTCAATTTATAAGCATGGTGACTTAAAAAAAAAAGATTTTAAATATTTGAAGAAATCCAATATAAAAGATTAATAATTTTATATTAACATTTAAACAACAATAATATATATTAATGATTCCATTAAAATAATACACTAAGTAGTAAAATACTTAATAGAGGCTGATTTTCAGCATGAAAATAAGTCATTATTAATATAAAAAAGGATTTAAAAGAATTATGGACATCTCATTGATGTTGTCAATGTAAAAAACATTTTGAGGGGAAAAAATGTTTAATGTGTTCGTGAAATTCATGCAGATTCATAAAAAAAATGTCTGTGTGCTTTTCAGTTAGTATTGATGTTAATGAATACTATGAGCCAAAATTCAGAAAATAAGTCTTGAAAGTCTTTTTTTTTATACCGACACTGAATGTCAAATAACCCAGCCTGAAGAACAAATAAATAAATAACATAGAGACTACATGGTTTCAACGTAAAGTCTTTATTTTAAGATTCGAAGACTTGATAGCCAAGTTTGATTTTCTTTCTGACTGAACTTACAGTGCAGCAAACACAGGAAAAAAGGTGAGAGTGGTAAAATCATCCTAAATTTAACATTAGGACTGAATCCAGTTTATTCACTTAAATGTGAAGTTGTCCTTTGGACTGTTTCCAGACTTTATTATGCTACAATATTAGCAACACAAGAATCCATGATCTGGAGTTGTGCTGGATTGAACATCTAAACAGATAAACGTGGTCCAACAGTGGGCTCATCAATGGGGTCTAAACAAAACAGTCCAGGAATGGTGCGTCCACAACTTTATACCACAATCATGAAGTTGTTTTGTCTTGTTCATGGAGCAGATATGTTCTTTGTGCTGAATTCCCGTTATTTATTCCTTAGTTGATATTATTTAACATGACCTAAAACAGAGAAACAAAAATAATAAACCCATAATAAACTACACTTGAAGGTTCCATCCCTCTCCATGCTGAAACACTTTAGCCCTATAAATGTCAAATACTATCATCATCAAATATAGTACAAGTGGCATTCATTAATACATCTTCTATTGTTAATACAATAACAGTTAAAAACAAAGAGTGAATGCTGGTCTCCCTGATAAGGGTAACGAGAAAAGAGGCAGCATTAGTTCATTCTGAGTCCTACCGAGTCAGTCACTCACTGCCGGGTCCCCTTGCAGCTCATTTACTTCAAAGTAAATGAACAAAACAAACCGAAAGAAATCACATTCCACAGTCACTGTAAGCAAACAACAAAACTCCTAAGCAACCTTTAACAGATTGTGTTCTGCTCAACATATATCCATTTTTATACAAAGCCAACAACGTTTGACCAGTCAGATCCATGTACGTGTGACGCTTTAGAAATTATGCATGACTCATGACTGATAACCAGAGACCAAATGACTCATTTACTTCAAAGTAAATGAACAAAACAAACCGAAAGAAATCACATTCCACAGTCACTGTAAGCAAACAACAAAACTCCTAAGCAACCTTTAACAGATTGTGTTCTGCTCAACATATATCCATTTTTATACAAAGCCAACAACGTTTGACCAGTCAGATCCATGTACGAGTGACACTTTAGAAATTATGCATGACTCATGACTGATAACCAGAGACCAAATGTATAAGGTACGCTGTTGTATGATCTAATAAAAGAATATCGACAAAGACACTTTCCCATAGCTGAGGCATCGGTTTTGTCAGATTTGGCATAAAACGACAATGGGGAAGAAATGAAGCGGTCCCACTGATGCAACCAAGGCCGCAACCACAATAGACACTGAAATGTTTGACCGATATGAGCTCTTCAGTGGTTCATTCTTAAATTATTACTGGTTATGTGTGGTAACATCCTTGGATACAACCGCCATATGAACATACTGGTAGAAAGTGGTAGCATTGCACCAGCAATTTCTAGGGCTGTAAATTGGTCTCCTACTCACTGAGGCATTCAGGATAAAGATGATTTCTGTCTTTTGTTTTGTGAAGCAAACAATGTAGAGTAGATGAGATGTTCAAACCGTTACATTTTGGTTTTGATCCCTGACCAGAATCCCAATATGCTGGGAATTTCAAGACTTGTATAGTATTTAAGTATTCTTGCTCATCATTTACGCCTTGATCTTTTTTTCTTTTAAAACAGTACACTAAAATGTCTAGAGTCACTCTGGCTCCATAAGCAAGCAGGGTTAACACATTTGCACACTTGTACATTATACATATACGTACATAAATATACACTTACATCTGTGCATATGTATGTACAAAGACACACTTAAAATGGACATACATATAATTCTATATGTGTACACATACACAAAGTTACAGCATACATGTTAAGTGCTAGATTTCCAAGTATAGCTACTGCAAACCCAGTTTGGCATGCTGGGCTGCCATGGCTACGATAATACTGGTAGGCAGGATAACACAGTTTATGAACAACACATAGTTTACACATTTTACCCTTGAGGATTAAGGGAGCATGGGTTTGATACTTCATGTTTCGATGGTTTGGAGACAGTTTGGGTTTCAGCAGCTATGTACAGAGGCAATGCCCACAGTCCAGTGTGAGGCCAGAGAGAGCGGAGCTTGTGCTAGTTAGAGAGCCTCTCGGCTGCCGCTTATATGCTGTCAGTCTGACAGAATGTGCACGAAGGACATTGGGAAGACCCCTTTCCGTTCAGGCTTCCCCTCTATGTGCCCGATCTGTAAAAAGGCAGGTTGATGAATGTGATAGTCTGTCCTAAAACTGAACTAACAATGCTAGTGGCAAGCGCACTGCGCATATTTACTTACCCACCACTCCTGGTCTTCCTCTCCTGTAACAATTATAACCTCCCCCTCCACAAAAGTCAACTCATCGTCATTATCTGCTTGGCAATCGTAGATGGTTTTCACACGCCTTACTTTGTTCTTGCCCTGCACAGAGATGATCTCCAGTTATTAGTGTTACACCTGTTGATCATTTCCAGTATGCATTACTGATCAAAATTTTGGGGTCGGATATATTTTGTTGTTGTATTTGAGTTGAATTACTGAAATAAATGAACTTTTCCACGACATTCTAATTTATTGAGATGCACCTGTAAGTCTCTTATGATCACCAAAGATGCATTCAATAAATGAAAAATACAGCAAAAGCAGGACAATGTGAAATAGTATGATTTAAAATAACGGTTTTGATATATTTTAAAATCTATTTCATATTTATTTAATTTTTTTATATTATATATTCTATAACCATTACTACATGGTTCAGTGTCACATGATCCTTCAGAAATCATTCTAATATGCTAATTTGGCGATTAAGAAATATTTCTTTACAATATTAATGTTAAAAACAGTTGTGCTGCTTAATATTTTGTGGAAACCATGATTTACAGGATTCTTTGATATATAAATAAATGTATTTTTTTAACTAAGAAAATATCTAAACTAATGATTTTTTTTACGTATTAATTTTTTTAATTTCACTTTTTAAGCTCAATATTATGCTAAATATGTTTAGTTTTACAACGATAAAATAATAGATATAGGTTGTTAAAGGGATAGTTTACCCAAAAATGGTACTCTCATGAACGCGCATCAAGACTGACACGGAAGAGAAGAAATTGTTGAATAAAGTCATTATTTTTGTTTTCTTTGCGCACAAAAAGTATTCTCGTAGTTTCATAAAATTACGGTTGAACCACTGATGTCACATGGACTATTTTAACAATGTAATTTCTACCTTTCTGGGCCTTGAACATGGTAGTTGCATGCAAGGTCCGAAAGCTCTTGGATTTCATCAAAAATATCTTAATTTCTGTTCCGAAGATGAACGAAGGTCTTATGGGTTTGGAATGACATGGTGAGTAATTAATGACAACATTTTCATTTTTGGGTGAACTATCCCTTAAAAGTGAGGACAAAAAATAATTTGTGCACTGGTTGTTAAGCTAAAACCTTTTGGGTCCACAGTACATATATAAAACTTTTTAAAAGGTCTTCCACTCACCACTGTGTTTATTTTCCGTGGCATCGGGACTGGCATTTCCACAGCTCCTGCAGGTGCACCATTAGTGTCCTCACTGGCCTGTCTTGGAGAGAGCTGCTCCTGCTGACTGGATGACTGCACCTCTGTCAGCTGGGGCTTTGGACTTGTTTCCTCCTGCGATGTTTGCCTCTGTGTGGTCTCAGCTGCTGAAGACATCGTAGGCTTGGATGGGAGGTCAGAGAGCTGTGGCTTAGGGGGAAGATCCTTAAGCTGAGGTTTCGGGGGCAGGTCAGAAAGCTGAGGTTTGGGAGGTAAATCTGACAATTGTGGTTTTGGGGGAAGATCAGATAGCTGTGGCTTGGGGGGAAGGTCTGAGCTATGCGGTTTCTGCGGCACCTCCACAGGCTGGGAGCGTTCTGCAGGTTGTGGGATTTTAGGTGGCGGCTCAGTGGGTCTAGTTATTGTATCTGAAGCTCTGGTGGGAGGAGTGTCCTGGGCCTGTGGGGGTTTCTGCAGCACATCAGGACCGGACTTGTCCACTGAGGGGAGGTGGATTGTGTCAATCTTTCGTAGTGCCACTGAAAGATGTGTAGGTCAATATAAAGTTCAAAATTAGAAATATAAATAAATCACTTGTAGTTAATGTCATGTGAAATGTACCTTTTTGAGGTAGTTTGGGAAGAACTCGTGGGCCAAATGTTGCTTTTGTGTTCATAGAAGTAGTGCTGAAATCAAGAAGGGCATGTCATTAATATCTCTATAACAGACTAGAAA